CTGTGCAATTAGTAGAGAGAATTAAGCAATGTCAGGGACAAAAACCTCCTGCCTCTTTAATTAATGAACCTCGTTAAAGATTAGTTTCTCCTTTGTTATCATGCTTTCCTTAGACCAGATGACAGAAAACCTGTGATTCTTACACCCTCTATTAAAAAAAAGTTAAACATAACCTTCCTCCAAAGAAACACAGCTTATAACCAATAACTATAGCTTTAACAATGTGCCAACCTTGTGTAAATAACGTAATTCTGCTAAAAATTTCTGTCTCTGTCTATAGAAATGAAGTCTTAACTTTCCTGGTTTGAAATGCTGACTCCATTCCTTTGGAGGTGTTGTTTCCTGTTAGTTAATTCTTATACTTTGTGCTCGAATAAATTATCTTTGCATTAGATTCTGATCCTTTTGCTTAATTTAGGTTGATGTGTTATATACATTATTGTTTCCTCCGTGAGATAATATTTCATGTCCTAGATAGTGGTGACCATTTCTAGTTCATCTTAGTGGTTTGATTGAATGATAATTACATTTAAGTGAGGTGGGCATTTTAGATATGGAAGGTTTTGAGGAACATGGCAGGGTATCTTGAAAGGAGAAAGCTGAGCTGTTTAAAGCAAAAAGGGAAGGCTGAATCTAATGCCGGGGGAGTCAGTGCACAAAGAACATTGACGTCAATAGGTATGTCTTCTGAGTGAGCTGAGAAAATCAAGCAAAATAGAAGACAGAACTATGGCAGGTGGGAGTTTGTATAACAGATTGTTGAACCTGGAATGGAGATTTAAAACAGTAGGGTACCACTCGACTTCAAATAGCCCAATCTCATTCACAGTAGGCATTGAGTCTGACCACATAGTCCTGCCTTCACTTTTCCCTGTGTTTTTCTGATTTCCCAAGCACTATGCTGACTGCAGACAGCTACATTTGGACTTCTAGCACTGTGCATGATAAAATGAAAATTTGCTTCTAGTTAGAGTTATATTGTTTTATTATCTTCCCAACTGAAGCAACTGTTGCCAATGTTTATAATTTATTTATTTTGTACTGGGAAGCTACAGTGTCCTCCTGAAAATATAAGAACTCACCAGTCAGCCTCTAAGAGCTATTCTGCTTATTGTCTTATTTACACTGTTTTTAGGCATGAGTTGTGGCAGAGACTGCCACATAATTGTTTCCTAAAATTGATTTTCCTTTATTATTCAATAAACTCCCCAAACTTCCTTTGCACCTTCCATTGACTTTTTTTTTTTTTTTTTTTGAGACAGAGTCTCGCTCTGTTGCCTGGGTGAGAGTGCCGTGGCATCAGCCTAGTTCACGGCAACTCCAAACTCCTGGGCTCAAGCAATCCTTCTGCTTCAGCCTCCCGAGTAGCTGGGACTACAGGCATGCACCATCATGCCCAGCTAAATTTTTCTATGTATTTTTAGTTGTCCAGCTAATTTCTTTCTATTTTTAGTAGAGATGGGGGTCTCACTCTTGCTCAGGCTGGTCTTAAAGTCCTGACCTTGAGTGATCCACCTGCCTCGGCCTCCCAGAGCCATTGACTATTTTTGATCGGTGGTATGTTAGCTAAGGTGACATTATACCATCTTCAGGGTTTTGTAGGGGAGGGAAGATTTTCCTCTACCTTCTGATGGTTCAATAATTAGGTCTGTGAAATAAACTGACAACAGGCAGATTAACAGTACAAAAGGTATACAAATTTATTATGTGCATGGGGGCATCACATAAAAAAAAGTGAATACCCTAAAACCCAGTGAGATCTAGAGGCTTATATATATCCTTTTCATAGGAAAAAGAGAAGAGACATGTAGGTAACTTAGGAGAGAGTAAATAAGTTTTAGGAAAGATGAATGGGCCCTCAGAAGAATTGGTGGTAGCCTGAGACAGTCTGTTTAGGTGGCCTTAACTTCCAGTCTCTTCTCCTGTGATAGGAATTTAATCTTTCCTAGTTGATAACATTACTAGGGAGGAGATTCAAGACAATTGAGTTCCTTTTGAAGGTTCTGTCTCTAGGCAGGTAAAGGAAGTTCAGAGAAAGCCCTGTCCTGCATTTGTAGGGGCTCAGAAAATGACACACCAAAATGAAGACCTCAGAAGCAAAACTTTTTCTCTAACTTTCTCCTGTCCTCCTGTCTCTGGCTTTGAATTCTCCCCTGAGGCTAGCCATAGAAATTAGAATCCCTCTTTCCCAGGGTGATAGAAACCAGAACTCCTTTTCCCCAAAGCCAGCCATAAAACTTAAACATATTACTCTAAGTTTCCTTCTGCCTTTCTGTGTAAAAACTGGCGTCAAAATAAATTATCTGACCTATCTGTTTGATTGTAGGTCATAAGACCCTCTTTCTGAAGTGGGTCCCGACCCACACCCAGAAGGAAGGAATGCATGCTCAGGGAGGCCAAAAAGAATATATATAGGTCTTTTCTGGGTTTCCCCATTTAGTGTATCTTTGGGTCATCATTCTGAAGGATCCTGTGTCACATAAAACTATGATTAAATAAATTTATATGCTTTTTCTCCTATTAGTCTGCCTTTTCATCAGTGATTTTCAGCAAACATTCAGAGGGTAAAGGGGAAGTTTTCTCTTGACCCTTACACATTTTTGCTGTTCATCAAATGCCTTCAGTTTGAAGTCCAAAGCAGCATATTTTGGGGTGACATATTCTGAACTCCTTAAGTTTCCATAAATAGTGGGGATGTTTCTTTCCTTGACCTTTTCTCCTTCCTCCAGGATGAAATACAAACATGATAGCTGGAGCTGGAGCAGGCATTTTAGACTACATATATATATATATATATATTTTTTTTTTTCTTCTGGCATGTGCTCCTAGGTATACTTAGACTACATATTAAGAATCACAGAATTACAATGCCATCTGGGAAACTACCTTAATGCGATGGTAGCCTCCGACTACATTACCAGACAGGCCATTCCAGAGGTGATGGACAGAAAAGCTCACAGACCAGTTTCTTGAGTTTCATGGCTTATTTAATTTCACTGAATCAATTTTAAACATATAGTAAGAAACAAGGAGAAAGAAATTTTGCATGTTAACACATTCCAAATAGGTTGCAAATGAGACAGTAATGCTACCCGAATCCTTGATTATGCGTGTAATATGTGTGAGCCCCTTCCCCACATATTTTCCCACTGGGAGGGTAGTTTTGAGAACCAAAGTTGATGATAAGCAGAGGCTCAGCAGATGAAAGTTATTTGGAGCCACACATGCTGGCACTATTGGAGAGATACAGGGACAAGTATACAGCCTCTCATATTGCTCACCGGTGACATAATGAGCTGCCATGACCTTTCCATGCATATTGTCTGCAGAGGGCAAATGGGGCTAAAATGGGTGTTAACAAAGTGTAGTCAATTTAAGACCTCATAAATACTGGTTGTTTTATAAATATTTGGTATCTGATAAGTATTTGGCGCTTCTTGATTCTTTCATCTCTTCTCTGTAGCACACAGAAGGCCTACTGACTTTCTACATGTCTAACATGTCTCACATGCTATTAATTTATGATTTATACTAAATATAGCTTTTGAATTTTGCACCTCAGAAACTTCTTGCTTATCTACTTAACACTTCTTATAAGTTTCTTACTTATGAATTACCTACTTTTTATCCATTACCTAGTTTTTTTATCCATTGCCTAGTTTTATCCATCCTATTTGTTGTTGCGTTGGTCCTCCATAGCAGAATTTAATTGCAGAATATTTTTGAGACTATTTCAAATAATACAACAAACACATATTATACATATAAGGAGATGAATTTTCTAAGGATAGTGGAGCTTCCATTCCAGGCCTGAGCTGTATTAGCTTTGTATGAGAGAGTAGACTTTCATTTTTATCAAGTATTGACTTTCAAGTTGTCTATCACTTCCGGGGGTATCAAATACTAACTCACACAGGTACACATTAAAACAAAACAAACAAAACAAAACAAAAAAATCCTTTGTCTTAGTAAAAGAATTCTTAACATGAATAATTAACATTATAATATTACTGTCCACATTTCAGTAAGGTTGTATGTTTTAGTAAGGCATTAAACTAAGACTTCTTGGAAATCCTTGTGAACCAATGATGATATATGGCCAGATGAAAATATAAATGTGTGGTCCCTATTCTTAATTCCATTTCCATCAATATATAGACTTGAATTCTGTGCTGGCTCCCTACCTCTTATTCTCTTTCATCCTCCTTCCCCTGGCCCTAGTAGCCACCTCCCTAAAAAGGTGAGAATCTGTCTGTTTTTAAAGTTCGAGTCATTGACTCCTTTTCTCTTATCATCTCTCTTGCTCCACCCTCCCACAAGCATTGCCTCCAGGGAACTTGAACATTTTCAAGATTGTGTTAATTCAACTTTTAGCAATTTAAATGTAGCCCCATCAAAAGCCAGTTTAAAAAAAGTCATCTTCAGACTGATGCCTCCTCTGTCAATTTGAGAATACTGTTTAAATATCCATTTTAGATTTCGATCCAGGTAAGAACAGGGATAATTTCTATCCTTCTCACTGCTTTCCTGAATATTTTCTGTAAGTTAATAGGTTCTCAATAAAAAAATGAATAAACTCCATAAAGGAATGAATGTTAACTTATATAAAAAGACTCAAGACTTCCGTATGTTCTCCACAATGATTTATTAAAAACGCTCAATGTTTTCAACTACGGTTAAAGTACCAAGCGGAAATGTTTTATTTTCTTAAAAAATTTACTCCAGCCAAAACTTATTTCAGTTATTGTCTAGATTGCCCACTAATTTTTTCTGCTGTGTCTGCCCAAACTATCTGTTCAATAAAACAGTGGGAGCACCAGAACAGCCTGTAGAAACATGCAATGTAAAAAAATTAACTTTTCTGTAGAACACAGCAGCTTGCAGCATTAAAGCTCTTAACAGAGACTGTGAGTGGCTCTGAGAAGAGCCTTTGGGTTTGACAGTGTCTAAAAACATTCACTTGGAGCTCGTGTACTTGGTGACGGCCTTGGTGCCCTCAGACACGGCGTGCTTGGCCAGCTCTCCGGGCAGCAGCAGGCGCACCGCCGTCTGGATCTCCCTGGAAGTGATGGTCGAGCGCTTGTTGTAATGCGCCAGGCGAGACGCCTCGCCCGCGATACGCTCGAAGATGTCGTTAACGAAGGAATTCATGATTCCCATGGCCTTGGACGAAATGCCGGTATCGGGGTGGACCTGCTTCAGCACCTTGTACACGTACACGGAGTAGCTCTCTTTGCGGCTGCGCTTTCGCTTTTTGCCATCCTTTTTTTGGGCCTTGGTCACCGCCTTCTTGGAGCCCTTCTTCGGGGCAGTAGCAGACTTCGCGGACTCCGGCATGACAAAATGCTCAAACAGCAAAAAGACGCAAGAAAGAACATTTAACCGCCCGCTGGCCTACTTTTGTAGGTCTTCTATGCAAATAGGTACTTCATTTTTTCAATCTCTGACTGGACAAAACCAGTAAGTAGGCTTTTATGCAAATAAGGTGAAGTCAAATCTACTTTTTGATTGGCTATTTGTGCGGAACCTCCCTTAAATTCTTTTATACACCACTAGGGGAAAAAAAAGGTAGTTTTTCTTTGAAAACAGTTAAAAAAGTTAATGTCCTGCTAGTACTATCTAGTTACGAATGCTGCCTCCCTAGATCGGATTTAAACAGAAAGAAAAGACTGATATGTATTTATATCTTTAGTTTCGTACCAAATTGCAGTTTCCTGTTTTAAAGTTATCTGTAAAGAACTAATTCTAGGAAAGAGAACATAGAAATTAGCTAAAGATTTAAGTGCTTCGAAAATTATGCCATTGGCATTCATGTAAAATCTGGTCACAGTAGGTAGTATTTTTACTTTAAGCATTTTCAGATACCAAAGGATAGTCTTGTTTCAACTATAGTAAGATTTTAATGTTCCCTAGAGCACTGTATGAGAATGATGCCAGTGGAAAGACTCAGAATTATGAAATAGGGTGTTTATTGCTAAAATAAATGTTTTTTCAAAGTCAAAAATTTTAATAAAATATATATGACGAAACCGGGCTGGACCAGTCATGTTCAAACGCGTACTTTTTGAAATCCATCGACAACTGCGGAACATTCATTTCTGTCTCTTCCTAAACTCAATCCCAAACAAATGTATTAAAATAGCCAATTAAGATACATAATACAGGGAGGTATATAATACATAATATAGGGCAAGAGAACTAGAAAAGAAAAAATTAGCACATTTCAACAGGTTAAGGTTTTCTT